TAAAATCCCGCAATGTAACAACTTTTCCCTGTGATATTCTGTCGCGTGCGCTAGGTCACTATGTAGCTAAATGCCTATACTATATGTCTAAATAGAACGCGGGAGGCAATAAAATTACTATTCGGCGAGCAAATAGTGCCTTTATGTTTTGAATGCTTTTCATCGCAAATATGCGACATAGAAACATGTCCTCATGAAAATCATGACGATTTGTAGATTTCTTGCAGTTCGTAATATAAAAAGGATAATTTTATAATAAAAACAGTCATCCCGTTTACTATTGCAGGTTTATTGTAGTGTGTATAGCGGTTATAAAGCTTGAACGATAATTTTTACATTTTTATAATGGCTACGACATTGAGTGTATATAATCAATGAAACCTTATGTATACAACTGCATACTGGAACGAGTTTGTGTGTGCGGGTCAGTAACAACTATAAAGCCTGTATATACATTAAATATTTCAGGAGATATTGAGATAACTGTTGTCCCCTTTTTCTTTAAAAACCTTTCTATACATAGAAGAGATGAAATCTGAAGGCAGAGTGAGTGAAGATGAAAATGTAGAAGGTCTGTTCAGAAGACCCTGTAAACGTCAGAGTGGGAGACCCGGATGTACCGGATTTGTTAAAGAAGCATCTCGCGTACCAGCCAAGCGTGAATACAAATCGCCAATATTCCGAGGTGATTATCTTTAGAAGAGGATGGAATAAAGAGGAAAATTTAGAATAAAATCCAATCTCAGCTAAGATTCAACATATCGTTCGGGTTTTCGAAGCAGAATATTTTATAAAAGGAGATTTTTTTATCTATTACGTAACATGCACCGAAACCAACGAGAGTATAATATACTACTTCGTTACGACTACATCCACATTTTTAAATTTTCTGTACGTATGTTTTCAATCGGCAAACAAACTTAAAAAGCTTTTCTCGTGTTTTATCTGCAAAATAATGCTAAAATGAAGAGATTTGAGATGGTACTCCAAAGAGAAAATTTGTACTCCTTGAAGTTCAGTATAAGTTTTGCCGTAAATATGGCATTAATTTTCGAGAATCATTGATAATTTTTTAATATCATTTTATATTTTTCAACTCGCATGCAGAGGCTTTTAAGGAGGTAGCAAACTGTATAAATTACAAATGGTAAATCTAAAAGAAAGAAATTTTGGGAGTTACCACAAAAGGATTTTATTTTTTGAATGATTTTTCATCGCAAATCGCGACATAGAAACATGTCCTCATAAAAATCATAACGGTATTAAATATTTTTATTTGTAGATTCCTTGTAGTTCGTAGTAAAACAATAATTTTGTAATAACAGTCATGCTGTTTATCAAGTAAATAATCCATTAAGTTCAATATACAAATTGTTTCTGCTTTGTAGGTTTATTGTAGTGTGCATCAGTGTATAGTGTTTATAGGGCTAAAGCTTGAACGATAATTTTTACATTTTTATAATGGCTACGACATTGAGTGCATGTATATAATCAATGAAGCTTTATATATAAAGCTGCTGGAACGATTTTATATGTGCAGGATAACTATAAAGCCTTTATACCTTAAGTATTTAAGAAGATAACTGTTGTCCCCCTTTTCTTTTAAAACCTTTTTAAACATAGAAGAGATGGAATCTGAAGGCAGAGTGAGTGAAGATGAAAATCTAGAAGGTCTGTTCCGAAGACCCTGTAAACGTCAGAGTGGGCGACCCGGATGTAACGGATTTGTTAAAGAACCATCTCACCTCCCCAAAAAGCGTGGATACAAATCGCCAATATTCTGAGGTAATTATCTTAAAAAAGAACGGAATAAAGAGGAAAATTCAAAATGAAATCCAAATTCATGCCGCTAAGATTTAACATCGTTTAGGTTCGAGAAGAATGATTTTATAAAAAGAGATTTTTTTATCTATTACGTAACACGCACCAAAACTAATGAGAATATAATATGCTATACTTCGTTACTGGCATTACTGTACGTTTTCAATTGGCAAACAAACGTAAAAGGTTTGGTTTGATGTTTTATCTGCAAAATGATGCTAAAATAAAGATATTTCAGATGGTACCCCAAAGAGAAAATTATGTTTAAAATTCAACATAAATTTTGCTGTAAATATAGCGTCAATTTTCCTGAATCATTCATAATTTTTCACGTACTGTTTAATAAACGAGCAGGAGTGTTTTATTAGGTTTAAAGCCACGAACGCGCTGCGCGAGTGGCTTTAGACCTAATAAAACACGACCTGCGAGTTTATTGAATGTCTTCAAACACGACTACAAATTCAATAGATATACTGCCTTATTAGTGTTCTTTATATAAAGAATACTAATTAGGAGTGTTTTAACAGGTTTAAAGCCAATGCACGTGACATATTATAGGCCGGTTTACACGACAAGCGTTTTGGGCACGGCACCCCTGAAAATGGGCACCGTGCCAAAACCGCCACTTCGCTATTTACTCGTTTACACGACAACATTTTGTAAACACACTTTTATGATAGGCACCGTGCCCATCGGAAAACGGCACCTCTACTTTCCGTTTACGACGGTATATTTTAAAGAATAAATATGTCGGACAGAAATAGAATTATATATTTATATTTATTGGAACGAAGAAGAGTATTATATGAGCCTACAATCGAGGCAAAAAACCAATTCAATACTAGAAAAGTACTTTAAGGGCCAGCTCATATGGGCAAAATGCCCAAAGTTATCCCGGTTAGCGAGAAAACTTTTTCGACAAGTTTACAAACGAGATCTTGCCTTTGTATGAAAATAATATGAAAAGTTACACTGCGTTCATATGAGACAAAAAGTTTTCCCGTGTACCGAGATCTCGCTTGTTGACAAGCCAGATCTCGGTGACCGGGATAATGTTTTTCCCATATGCATGAACACAACTTTACCGCTTAGCGGGATAACTTTCTGTCGTATCAGCATCTTTTCAATTCAATTGATATTCAGTGCGTGCCCATCGGAAAACGGCACCTCTATTTTCCGTTTACGACGGTATATTTTAAAGAATAAATATGCCGGCCAGAAATAGAATTATATATTTCTATTTATTGGAACGAAGAAGAATATTATATGAGCCGAAAATCGAGGGAAAAAACAATTCAATACTAGGAACGTACTTTAAGGGCCAGTTCATATGGGCAAAAGTTATCCTGGTTTGTGAAAAAACTTTTCGAAAAGTTTACAAGCGAGATCTCGCCTTGGTATGAAAATAATATGAAAAGTTAGTTTACACTGCGTTCATATAAGACAAAACGTTTTCCCGTGTACGTACCGAGATTTCACTTGTCAAGTGATAATGTTTTCCCCATATGAACACAACTCTAGTTCCCGCTTGGCAGGATAGCTTTCTGTCGTGTCAGTAACTTTTCAATTCAATTGATATTCAGTGCTATGTCACAGCCGGAAACTTTACCCGGTAAGCGGAATAACGTTTCTCCATGCATGTGAACAGAACAAAAGTATATTTGGCTGGTCGAAAAGTTTTCTCGTTAACCGGGATAACCTTTGCCCATATGAACAGGCCCTTGAAGACGAAAGGAGTTGTTTTCTCGCATTAATGTTGTGCCATCTTGTATTCACCCGCCACGAATTCGAGAAGTGTGGACGCATCGAACGACAGCTATTTGCTACGACCTAGTTACTGCTCTATTCAGCGACGAACAGTGGTATCAAAATTTCCGAGTCAGCTAGAGCAACATTCACATTCTGTGTTAAATTTTTTTTTTAACTTTGTTTATTTTTAATTTTTGGCAAGTTGTAGTTTTTGGCGCTTGCTGCCATGTTGGAAAGAGGACAATTTGTTTTGCGCATGCTAGATGTCGAACACATTTTTTAGTTTTTTTCGAAATTTGGGCACGGCACCCCTTGCTAGACGTGCCGAGACTACCTCGTGAGAAAGTCTCGGCACGTTTAAATTTTGCGGCACCGGTGCCGATTTTTGTCACGTTTACACGCCAAAAGGCAGAGGTGCCGTGCCTAAAATTTTGGGCACGGGTGCCCATTTTTAGGGGTGCCGTGCCCAAAACACTGGTCGTGTAAACCGGCCTTATGATTGACATGATTTGCCAATAAGCTTATGAATTATTGAGTGTTTGAATATTATTTATTTTGTGTTGCTCAACAGGCAGATGCATTTAAGAATGTAGCTAACTATGTCAACCACAAAATAAGTTAATTTGAGAAAAACGATTTTAGGTTTTATATGCTTGACATCGCAACTATAAAAAATGTCCTCATAATCATTATGACAATAGGCCTAATCAAGTAAATTGTTCAGTTTTTCCCACGGAACTTTTTGGGATTTGTAGAGTTCTTGTAGCTCGTAATAAAAAGGATAATTTTAGAACAATCATGTTCTTTTTTTTTAGTAAATATAATCCATGAAGTTCAACATTCAAATTGTTCTAGCTGTGTAGGTTTGTTGTAGTGTGTAGCGTTTATCAAGCTTAAACGATGATTTTTACATTTTTATAATAATTACGACATTTAGTATATAATCAATATATAAGCTTTAAGTTCATTGTACAATTTGAAGTACGTTGTTCAGTATATAAGCTTTAAGTACTTATACAATGTCTGTAACATTTTGTTTAGCTTTGTCTCAAAAGCTGTATTACGTAATGCTTTATATTATAAATGTAATGTATATTAATATTAAGTTGCATTTGTGATTTCGAGATGTGATATTGATTCAACAATTATATTGTTGAAGGGTCTTGTATATGGAGATTATCGAGTGGAAATTTATATACATTCATTAAACCTAACTATAGGAACAGCTGCGAAAATACAGGAAGCGAACCTGCGGCCCTGTCATTCCGGTGAAGCGCTCTAACCAACTGAGCTACATAGGCCAGTTTTCGACCTCTAATCACAAATTCATATATATATATATATATTAAGGTGAAAATGTTCTCGAGTGTGTATTATATAATTTCCATACACACTCGAGAACATTTTCACCTTAACATATTACGGAGTGTACAATTACACAACTCATATATATATATATATATATATATATATATATATATATATATATATATATATATATATATATATATATATATATATATATAAATATATATACCGGGTGTCCCAAAAAAAAGTACTCCTGTTTGATTCGTAATAACTTCTAAACAAGTAAAGCTTTTTTAGAGAAATAACTTGCATTAAATAGAGGAAGGACTAACTTAGATTTTGATATATTACAGTTGTATTTTACTTAAAAATTCACGGAGATATTAATGTTCAAATCGGGAGCATATTTTGGGATGTGTCTAAAATTAGCAAAAATCGGCATATCAAATATTAACTCCAGCGTTTGTTTGCTTAATGACATATCAGGCTAACTTGTATTTCAGCGAATTATCGTTAGGGTTTGTAAGGGATATGGCGTAGATTTAGACATCTTACATGTAAGTCTTAGCTCATTGTTTCCTGAAATATGAACGTTCGAAATTATGCAAGTATTTAATATTAGGTCTTCACAAACTTAAAAGTACATGAAAGACCATGGAAGGCAGGCGCTTAAATTTTTCTTAAATAGCCTAATTTTTTATGTTTTTAATGGGTTCAAACAGACTGAGTTGATTATTTCTCGGTTAGAGCAGGATGAATATTATTCTTTATTGAAGGAAATAATATTG